GGTTGTGCACCAACATTCAATTTTTTTTAAGCTTGAAATCCGGCAGAACCGCTGTTGCAAATCCTCTCCCCTGCAAATCAGCGAAGTAACTTTCTGTTTTATTGCGTGGATTAACATAGTGGCATCGCGGTTTTGTTGTTGCAGGAGGAAATTTTGGAATGGCGGGAACCATGTGCTCTTGTATTTGCTTCCGAGAATGCATTGATACTGCAATTTGGGGAAAGGGGATGCTGATTGCTATGCGCACACCTGATGACAGATCTTCTGCAGAGAGTATCTTAGGAGGAATCAACTGCAAGACAGTGGTGAGCCACAGACATATGCTTACCTGGATTGCGTTTGGTTTGATCTGTCTTAACTGTTTTGTCTTTTTGAGAGTTTGTGGGCCTCCCTCCACTATACAACATTGTACAGGCTTTTGGACGTGTTCTTGACCGGATGCATTCATAATGCTGGACTCGTCCGAATGCACCTGGCCCAGAAAGCATCCAAATGCATGTAGTGTTGTGTTGTGGAGCGAGACCCTTTATGACTTTTGAGAACTTTGTGTGTTCGTTTTTTGTTCTCCAGAGTCTGTCGGTAAAGCATTGCTTATCATTTCTCCATGGTCTGCAATCTTGGCCAAGTTTAGAAAAGTATAGCACTAGCTGATTCTGTAATAGGGATAGTTGCAGCACTTCAACTTTCGTGCGCGTATGGCACCTCATTCCAGGCCAGATTCAGGCGAAAAAGCTTGAGTGCGGGTACTCTTTATGGCACTAACTTGCCTGTTTGCAGACTCGTTTCGCTCAAGGGAAAGACATCTATATCAACTATTGCCCCCGGTTCTTTTTGGGTTCTCTTTCTCTCTTCCCCCCTGCACTGTATTCATGACTTGATTGACTTTTCATTTGGAAGAAAATACCTCCAGGAAAGAAATTAGTTTGCCTCCATGGATAGGAGGTAGCTCTTACCATTAATATATTAATCTGAGTCCGTAAGGGCTTGAACCATACTTGCAAGCAGACGGACCGGACGAGCGTCCCGTCCGGTCTGCTTTGCCGCGTGCAGCACCCTCCCCCCGGACCAGACGGACCCGGACCGGACCGGACAGGGCCATTTTTTTTTTTTTGGGGGGGGGGGGGGTGGGGCGTAACTGGTCGTCGGGCGCACATTCGTGTGCCGCGCGGGTCCGGTCTGGCGGTCTGCCGCACGTGCGGAACCGCCCGGACCGCGTCCGCTTGCAAGTATGGCTTGAACTCTTTGTTCGTGTGCCTCCTCATGCTTCGTCTCCCGCTGTTACGTGGCAGGAAAATGGCAGTAACTGTGTTCTGGAAGTGTTCGAGTTTTTTTTCGTCTTCAACGAGGCAGCTCCTGGCATTACTGTATTCATCTGAGTCCGTAAGGGTTTGAACTTGTGCTCTTTTGTGAAGACGTCCAAGGTTGCTTCCTTTTTTGTTTTTTCGTTTGTTGAGTAACCGGAAGCATCACGAGTGGGGGAAAGGGTGAAGTGAATGTGAATAGAGCTCAGTAGACTGATGACTCAGGGCCAGGCCCCACGAGTGCTGTGTTCATCGTGGGAAACTGGTCATAATCATGGTCGCGTTCATGCTTGGAAAGCGTGTAGCCTGCTCATAAGCAGGGGCATGTTCGTGCTTTCCGAGCATCAACCTTGGCCACAGGGGCCTAGCCCTCAGTAATGAGTTGCGTTGCGTTGAGTTAAGTTTGACACTATGTCAGTAATGAATTGAGTTGCGTTGAGTTAAGTTTGACACTATGTTCTTTTCTGTTTGCCTGTCTACTACATTGCAGGGCTTTCTTTCAGGGCAAAGGTGGTCAGACAACTCAGTGTATGATGTTGGACGCAGGCCTGGTTCCGTCAACCGATATAGGTGAGAGTTGTGAGCAATCGATGTTTGTTGGGCGACACTATGCTCGTGAAGCCTGCAGGCGAATTTTGAGGGGAATCCTGATGCAAAATCTCATGTGAATTCTGAGGGGATTCCTGCACTACGGAAACGGGATGAGTTGAATAATGCATATGGAGGAATGCTGATCGACTGGTCAAAGGTCCAATCGACATCCGAAATAGTGGGTTCGGGACTGGTTGCCTCAGGTGTTGGGTGGTGGTTCGATTCGAGGGACGCAGCAGCACTCTGTATGAAGTTTGGAGTAAAACTGAAAGCAGCAAGGAGAGATGCAGAACAAGCAGAAGCAGCGTAAAGAAAAGCAGCAGCAGAAGCAGTGGATGCAAGAAGAAGAAGAAGAAGAAGAAGAAGAAGAAGAAGAAGAAGTTAGGTAAAGAAGAAGAAGTTAGGTGAAGAAGAAGAAGAAGATCTAATGAACTGCAGGAATGTATGCCTTGCTGAGATTCCCGCTTTTTGCTGAGTTTTCTAAGTCTGTGTGTGTGCGTGCTTGCTGGTCTGTGTGTCTGTCTGAGTGCTTGTCGGCTTGAGTGTGTGTGTGTGTTGCCCGCTAGGGCACTTGTTTGTTTGGGAGGCCCTCGGGGCTGGTACTTACCTGTGGCCGTGACTTTGAGGGTTGCAGAGGGGAAAAACACTCGGCCAAAGGGGTGGCTTAGGGCACACTCAAGTAGCATATCGTTGGTACCGGTAGCACTTTTGACTACCATCTTTACCCGAATAGAACGCCCGGTCATTGTCGCTGCATCTGGACTGAAAGTTGGGCCAAATGCAGCTATAATGACTGGGCGTTCTATTCGGGTGAAGACGGTAGTGGTAGGCCGAGCAGAAGAAGACAAAAAGTTAGTATTTTTAGAGGCCCAGTCGAAGTAGGCCTAGGTCTAGGCGGGTACCAGTCCAAGTAGCCTGAGTCTAGGGCCTGCGCAGACGATATCAGAGTCTGCAATGATGTTTCCCTCCGAAAGGGAGGTACTGGTTGCTTGGAGGCTGCGCGGCCTGGAAGTCACCAGCCGTGAGGCTGGTTGGCCGCTATATCTCCTGGTGGAGTGAGTGCTCCTTATTTGCAATATGCAAGTTTGGGCGTCATGCTGCTTGAAGGGCGCTGGTTCTCAGAGCGCTGCTGGGGAGGAAGGAGGAGAGCTGGGCGCTCTGCCTCGCTATGGAGAGGAGCCCAGCTTGAGGACGAGGAAGAAGGGGGCGAAGGAGGAGAGTGACGAGGTACTTCCCTGGCTATGGTGGACGCCATCTTCATCACCTTGCTAGGCACTGCATCTCAAAGGCCCCAGTTGGGGTAGTGCTGCACCAAGAAGGCTTCAAGGCAGAGTCAGGCATGAAGGTCTGAAGAGTAGCGGCCATAGCTGCTTTGTGTTGCCTTTGCACGTCAGGACAGCGCCCTTAGTAGTCTGCCATAACCTAGGCCTGTGAGAAGTAGGAGGAGAGGGAGCCATGGCTATGGTGGACCTATTGTTGTGCTGGCAGTAAACTTCGGATATTGATAGGAGGAGAGTGGAGAGCGAAGGGGGAATTGTCATTGGTCTTGCTGCTGTACATCTTCTTCTTTCTTTCTTCTTCTTTCTTCTTCTTTGGTCTCTATCTCTTGGGAAGTGCTTTCATTTCTTTTGCAATTGGTGGCATGACCCAATTGCACTTCCTTGTGAATTTGCACTTCGGAAATGGCCAGGATCGTAACAAAGAAGAAGAAGAAGAAGAAGAAGAAGAAGAAGAAGAAGAAGAAGTTAGGCGAAGAAGAAGAAGAAGTTAGGTGAAGAAGAAAATAAGAAAGGTGAAGAAAAAGAAGTTAGGTGAAGTAGAAGAAGATTGGTGAAAGTAGAAGAAGAGAAGAGAAGCGGGCAGCAGATGAGGAGGGGGAGGAGGAAAGAAGGAGCACAGGCGGGATCTGGCTCACAAAACAAACCAGCCAACGGGGACCGGAAAGCTTATTCGGTATTGAGTTGGCTGAGCTTGTCGAATGTTTGTATTGAGACCATCAGGGAAGAAATATAATGCTGACATAGTATGATATTGGGATGCCTAGGCTTGTTGATTGAACAGTGGCAGACTAGCAGATTACTTGGCAGAGGCTAAGTGACTGTCATGGCTAAGGTCTGGACATTTGAGCAGTCTAGTGCGCAATACCAATGAGCCATCTAGAATTGATAGAAAGCTTACTGAAAAAGAACGAGGAAAAAAGAACCAGGGAAAATAGAACAAGGAAAAAAAGAACAATNGAAAAAAGAACCAGGGAAAATAGAACAAGGAAAAAAAGAACAATATCAAGTCCCTAATTGCAGTACCAACAACTTGTGGGTAAGGTCTAGGGCTAACTTGGCATCGTCATACGTCCAACAGGGTTGCAAACCACTCACCGCTGATGCCTTCCAGCCAACAGCAGGGAGCCTACACTCGGCAGTCTGCCAACTAGTGATTGCGTGCTATAATATGTTGATTTTCAGAATTTTGCGAGGGGGGGCCTGTGCGGAGGTGCCCACCACCTGAAAAATGAGTTTTTATTAACTTTTTAACGTACTTTGGGTGCGGGGGAAGAGGAGGGTTGGCGGGGGGGGAGGCGGGTGCAAGTGGTGACCGGTGTTGACTGACGAAGAAGGAGAGGGTTGCAGCTGTGATAATGATGATGATGATGATGATGATGATGATGATGATGGTGGTGGTGGTGGTGGTGATTATGATGATGATGATGGCATCATGATGCCAAATGCTGGTAGTGGCCTCAGTTTGGAGTTTGGCTATCCTTGCGGAAGACAGTAGACACATCTGTAGAGCCACCCATGGGTCCCACCAGCTAGATGCCCGCTGACTGTCGACGGTCGAACATTGTATACAAGAAAAGGAAATGTCACACCCTTTGCCTTTGGCCTGCAGTGGCCTGAGCCTGTACTGGCATGCTTTCCTTATTATGAGCAGCTTTTGCGAAGTAATGATGAGGGGGGTAGACCTATTTGAAGCTCACGTGCACGGATATGTTAACACTCTGCAGGTTTCCAGCTGGTGAGCTTGCGGATTCCAGCTGTTACTGAGGATTTAACTGCGTCAAACTGGCGGAAGCAAAGATCCAGATCTGGGATCCATTCTCCATTCTTTCTTTTCCTTCTCCGATGAAAGGACGGTCTCAATTCACCATACTCTGTGCTATTTATTATGTTCCTTTTCTGTCCCCATGACTATGACGGGGATAACAAGCTGATGAAATCCCAAGACCTCATATTGACATCGTTATCCTCATTCTCACTCCGAGGTTTATCTCCCGAGCTGGCCCTGGCGGTGCAAGCCTCCTGTTGCTCGGTTTGACCAAGTGCTTTTCTACGCGCATTTCGGCAGCCAAGGCTCCCATGCAGCAGCTCAACTCTGTTTTGGTAAATATGTTATCATAAGTTGTGAAGCAGGTGCTGTCCCCATGACGTCCCGTCTTTGTCATCTGCTTGTGCTCTTCTCATCTCTGTCTTCCTCCTTTGTTCTCACCATATCTTCGCTGACTATTGGTTCGTCAGTCTCTCCAGTTCTCCTCACTCTGCCCATAGCCCTGCCATCGGTCCCCAGCTTGTCCATTCCTTGATTGCATGTCTGTCAACCCGGTCGTGATTGCTTCTCTCTCTCTCTCTCTCTCTCTCTCTCTCTCTCTCTCTCTCTCTCTCTCTC